ACCGCCAGTAACTCAGATTCATGAGCTCTGTCGCGCCGTTTTTATCTTGGCTCGTCCAATTGGAACCACCGTAGTAGCCAAGATCAGGATTCTCAGCCTCGAGATCCTGGATCATTTGGCTCAGATAGTCGCCGATAGTCTTGACGTTGGGGGCAAAAATCCCAAGCGGGTGATTGACCTTGGCTCCTAGCATGAAAACAGCAAGCTTTTCTTCCGCTGCTTCCTCGTGAAAAGTGCCATCCTCGTCTGGGATTTGCGGAGAAACGCGATACGGAAGAGCTTCATCGAGGTAGTAGTTTTTCTTCCGACCTAGAGTAATGGCCATTGTATCCGCTAGACGGACTCCAAGCACAATAAGAGAAGGAAGCATGGCATAGAAGCGCGGTATGATAAAGACGATAAGGGACTGTAGCAGAGCCCCAAGGAGGATCCACGTCGACACCGAGAAGTTTTCTCGGAGAGCCTGGAGAGAGTCAGTGCTCGGAACCGTGCAATAATGGTGTTGCGGAGACTCACGTAAAGAAATCTGCTCCTCGCGTCGGGCCAATTACTCTGCGCACGTGGGCGCTTTACAAAGGGAGGAAGGGCACTCTTGAAAGCCATAGTGGGAGCAATGTACAGACGGCTGTCGGGTATTTGAAGCACTTTGTCAAGGCTTTAGCGATGAGATGAACCAGGAGTTGTAGAAGTAGGAATGAGAGCTGATATCGAATGTGTAAAAACAAAGGCTGGTGAAATAAAGTCGACTATATATCACGGTCACAGCCTGTATCACCAAGCCGCCACGGCCATGGATACAACGTTGCTAAACTTCATCGCGCTGAGTGCATGAGGTGCTTTGCATTTTCGGACGAGACGAATCGAATCGCAAAGCGAGAGAGCAAACCGGGGTATCAATTTGGGCGGCGGAGGTGCCAATGGCAAGGAACCTGCTGCCTGCAACGTCTGGGCTCCATAATTAGGATACCAAAAAGGTAACTTGACCTGGGCGGCGGCATTGCTTTCGCACGAATGCTCTGAATCAGGCGAGATACCCCCCAATCAGTTTGTGGAGGACGAAAGTGTGACAGCAACATCTCCGCAAGGCGAAATGTGAACAGCGGATTGAATATTGACCGCACATCGCTAAGCTACAATTTAAGGCCGTAAGGGGCTCCCTCCCGAGTACACAACAAACGGTCGTTGAACGCCCCTAGGCAGACACGAGTACATTACTTCATCTCGCCTCCTCTATTCCTCAGGCCCTATATCATTCGGCCGTACTCGTACACGACATTGGAGGATCAAGTCTCTAGTAATGCAATTCACACTAGGTTACTAGGGTAGTCGCTGTCTGGACTTTTAGGCTGTAGCATAACAGCTCCAAGGAGCTCCGGACCCAATATCCGACCGTCGCGCCGATCTATGAAACAAGCGGGCTCACCTGACGCGCAATGCTCGGAAGAACAGGATGTTGACGTCCCTCAACCCACAAGTTCCTGCAACTTCAGATCTCATCCTCCCCAGAATTTCTATTTCTCTAAGAGTCTTCTTGCTCTACCATTTAATGCTCCAATTTGACACAGCCCAAACTCCGGTATTTTCATGCAGGCCGTGTGAAAGCGTATCAATAGCAGAACCCGCCAGAGTTCTGCGATGCATCTCAGACTTATGACGCCGTAGTTTTCGGTGTCTTGGTGGGAGACAGTCCCAACCCATTTCTGTTGCGGAAGAACAGCACGCCTGCGTCCTCCCCGGTAGCCCCCTCCATGGGTTCAACCCACCCACACCATCTCATCGACTTCCACAAGCTTTGCAGAAAGCCCAATGAACCTCCCTCGGTGTCACTTCGATAATGACGACCCATGACCTTCTTGATGGCCTCGCTGGCCTCATCAGCGTGGTAGAATGGGATGGTGCTGACATAATGATGGAGGACATGAGTTTCGATGATTCCGTGGAATAGTTGGCGCCCGATAAACCCGAATTCTCGATCAATTGTGGCTGCGGCGCCGCGGGTATATGTCCACATCTCAGGAGTATAGTGAGGAAGAGAAGGGTCGGTGTGTTGCAGGAACGTTATCGCCACTGTTTACCTGTAAGCAAGAGAAGTTTGGAAACACCATATTGGTTTGTATAACTTACCTAACCAATGATTGACCCACAAGTAAGGAGCAAGATACCAGACAAACAAATTGGAGAGACCATAAGTCTTACCGACCCAGAAGAGGATGCTTCCAACCACGAGAAGACCCAAATCACTCAGGAAAATGAGCTTGGCATCTTTGGCCTCATACAATGGGCTGGCAGGATCAAAATGGTTGACTCCGCCTGCGAAACCGTTGTGCTTGCCAATGCCGCGGCCCTCACGCTGAACTTCGTGCTTGTTGTGGCCGGTGACGTTGGTGAGCAAGTACATGGGCCAACCAAAAAGTTGTTGGGCGATCAGGTGGTATGCAGTTGCAATTGGAGTCTCCTCGGTAAGCTCATCGAGCTGATGTAGCAGCCACCCTCTTCGAGTGCAATATTGCTCTTTGGTGACGGGGACAAAGACCATGTCTCGCTCCATGTGGCCCGTGGCTTTGTGATGCTTGCCATGAGAGATTTTCCAAGAAAAATAAGGCACCAGAAGCGCGGTGTGGCAGAGGTAACCGACGGTGTCGTTCAGGACCTTGCTGGGCGAGAATGACTGATGCCCGCACTCATGAGCCAGCACCCACAGCCCGGTACCGAAGAGCCCTTGCACAACAGTATACAGAAACCACAGACCAGCTCTTAACGGGGTGGACGGGACGTTCTCGGGGGTCAAAAACCGGTTGAAGAGGTAAAAGGTGACGGCGAGGGAGGTGACGTCCCGAGCAACATAGTACAGACCGGTAGCCGCAGATCGTTGGAAGCAATGCTTGGGGATGGCTTTGTGTATATCGCCAATTGTGAAATCAGGCACTTCGAAGGGGTTGCCATAGGTATCGAGCAGCTGCTTCCTCTCGGGGCTCTGTTTTGCCTGAGTGGTAGCGTCTTCCGAGGCAAGCGAGGACAGGGAGGTCGAGGAAGGGGAGGTTCTCGGACTATCGAGAGGTGAGATGTTGGCAGAGGAGCTGGGGGTCGAGTCAGTTGTCGCCAGACGACGAAGGACTGCCTCAGCGGGCAATGCAGTGGAAGTCATGGTTGAGCTGGCGAAAGACTCTTCAACAGACCAACAAGGTGAATCTTCGACCTGAGTGCTAGGAAGACGGACGTAGGAAGAGTCCAATTGAGGGAAGTGCTGGGGGAGGTCAGAGCAGTGAGAAATAGAAGAAGGCTGCAGCGACGGGCCAGGCTTAAGAGGGGAGCTTCTGAGCTTGAGGGAAAAATAATATTAAGGCTCAAAGCGTCGTATTCTTTAGGCCAAAGGAGTGAATGGAGCACTAGCAGCGAATGAATAGAGTTGTTCCCATCGTAAAAGTCCTGTAGGCGCAGGGCAGTGGAGTGAATGTGGGCTGCGGGCAATTCTTTTTTTTTGGGCAGAGGGGAAAAATTCGCCATGATCCGTGAATCTCAACAAAGCCTCCCAAGGGCTAGCGCGGCAGGGGCAAGTCAGGGGACCAGCAGCTAGCATCGACACGCAGACCATTTAGCTGCTCGGTTGTGCCTGGGCGGTGAGCGACGATTCCAGGGTCTTTGTCTGGGCCCCGAGGATCGCCCACCCACTTGCTGGATACCTACCAAACCTACCTACCTAGCCTGGTAGGTGGTTACTGTCGAGAGCGGCGACCGAGCCTCTGCTTTATCGCTCAAACTCCGTACAACCCAATCCTCCAAAGTGAAATGCAGACGAGTATCTACTGGTCTATTTTGTCCACTACTATCTTCAGCTGCTGCGTCTATACATAAGCTGATAAAACCAAGACCACCCAAGACTAGGTGATTGGATTAGGCTGTTGCCCCGAACGAGTGTTTCTGTCAGTACTGGTCTACCGAATCCTCGTCCTGCTATTACTCGGTTTTTTGCACTTCCGCAGGGAGATTGTTCGGACGGCAAACACGGCCTGGCCAAGATTTTCAGCAAAATCCCCAAAGTGGGACTTGACTGGTTGGCACATTTTCCCCAGCAAGGGACTGAGTTGGGCGACATTTGTGTGCAGTGGTGCCTCTCCCTGATTCCACCCCACCCAGGCTTGAGGATACACGGGTTTGCCCCCTTCGTTGACCGATTATTTCAAAGAGCCATGGAACCTCTGGCTTTGCCCGACTCTTGGCAGCTCCAGTTTCGCCATCTTGTCGATCAAAGGAAGGCGCCGCTGACACGCCCGGCAGGATGTCGTGCGTCGGTTGGGCGCATTGACTGACCGCTGATGGTCGGGTCCTTGAGCACATGTTGCATTCCGTGCCGGCAATTGCTGCCCGTGTAAAGGGATGGTTGCCAATCGATTGTGTCCCTATGGCATGTGCAACAGATCTTCGCAGTAGCAGAGTGGTTGTCGTTTCACATGCTGAGAGGACTTGAGGTCAGAGGTAGGTGGCAGAGCTGATGCCTCGGTCGAATGGGGAAGGTTCAAGCATGACGAGGTGATGTTCTCTCCAGCCGAAGTCCCTGGCACCACTGGTTGTCCACTGGAATGGTCAGCGTTGCTGGGAGCATGGGAGCTGGTGGTCTGTGGTGGTGCAAGGGTGAAATCGGAGTTCCAACGAAAACGATTTTGTTGGGGAGCTGAGACCTAACGCTAACCCACCATGACTCGCCCTCACCTCCGCCGATGTCATCACTCCACCGCACCAATCTGCTTGAAGCGTGGTAGTCGGCTCGTACCGAGCACGGACCCTGGAGTTGGACTCTGCGACTGGTCCGAATAGCTGGAGTCAAGGTTTCTGGAATGGCTCAAAGCGAGGCGGTTCCTGGCGCTTAGTGTCACCACAGAGTAGTGAGAACGAATGTCCAAGCTGCGGCTCAAAACAATATATTGGCATCGTTTCATGCCAGCTTGGAGTCTCGCCATGGCGGTGAAGGGCGTGTTGGGGGTCCTGTACGGAGTAGTTGGGTCTCAGCCCACTCCACGACTCCCGCTTGCCACTAGCCTGCCAACGCCCTCGTCTGGTATCATTCCAAACACCTCCACAGTGGTGCTCCGCAAATCTGGGGTAACGAGAACACTCCGACCATGAGCAGGATTCTGCACATCGCTCACGAGATCTATCCATTCGTCCTTGCCACTGTTTCTGACCCGTCTGCGACATTTTATGCTGACCGAGGGAACGAGCAGGTGTCCGAGATGCTGTGGGAACAGGATTAAGCCCATACGTACCGCCTCGGGACCCAGTCGCACAGTGCCTTTGCGTCTGCCTCCAATAAACCACGAATCCGAAAGGGCCGCGATCTCGAACAATCCTTCCAGCTCTCCCTCTATCTGGTCTTCGAGTTTGATGACGATTTCGGCCTGCAATGGCTGGCCGATGGTTGCAGTCGCGTGCGGTGGCACTGACCATGCGGCATCTAGAAACGCGGACACTAGAACCGGTCGCGAAGGAATGTCGACATATAGTCTGAGCTGTCGTTGAGGGACTTTTGAAGATGAAAATTTGATCGGTGGCGTTCGAGAATGCCAATTTTGAAGCCAATCTTCAATCTCAACTCTTCTTTGTCGGTCGAAGGCACACAGGACTGATGGCCACGCCATATCCTCCATCTTCCAAACTTCAAATTCTTGTGTTAGTCCTGCAACTTCCACATCCTGCTCGGTCCATGTGGTGCGGACCCGTTCCAGTAGGTGCGATGTTAGAAGCCGGGCGGCGAAAGCATGCTTGGAATTGGCAAGCTCCCTAGTGAAATGTGTCTCCAGAATTGCCAACATCACCCCATCTAGGGATTGGAAGTCAACAACCAGAGTCAGCCTCCTGCTGACATTATCAGTATTTGCGTCCTTGGGCACAAGACGGACGGTCCAACTAGCAGGTTGCTTCGGGAATACCACGAATGGCTCGGCGAAGCCACCGCCTGAAACCATCTCATAGGAGTCATTGCCGTCGAGATTGCAGCCAAAGAGACGAAGTGGTACCATTGTCGAAGGGATGATGGTGAATCTCGAGTACATGTAATCCTTACGAAACACATCCTGAACATTGACTGTTACAGGTAAGATCACCTTGACAAAAGCTGTGTCGTAGAAGGTGAATATCCCTTGCTCCGTCTCATAAGTGGCCTCAAGGCGCAATGTTATGGCTGGCTCGGACGCGGTCTCCATGGTGTACGGGATTTCGACCTCCGTGACCGTCAATGAGCCCAAGTTGTCTAGGACCATCACTAAAGCGTCACCTTCTCGAGCAGTCTGCACTTGATTTGACTCATGTTGGTCGCCTACTAATTTGGAGTCATGAATATTGAGCCTTAGTCCAGCCGTTGCCGTCCTCAAGCGAAGCTTGACCTGCTTGATATCGTTTCGCCCAGGCCTGATTTGCAGTAGTAGCCTACGGATCTGGGCCAAATGAATGATCGGGAAGGGGTACATTTTGATTCCAAACGATCGATAGCTGGGGTAGAGCAGAAGCGGCACCACTTCTGCGCGAGGGCTAAGTGAATCATCAAATCCGGCCGCTTCGTCGTCTAGCCTTGACTTGAAGTGGTGCAAAAGTCTCAAATTTCCAATGCAGACCTCAACTTCATCCGGCACGTACCAGCCATGCGTTGTCACGGGAGTTTCCAGGGTTATGGTTTTGTCTGTCGAGTCGATGACCACTGTTTCTGACAGGAAGAGCAATATGAATCGCGGTTCAACACCGTCTTTGGCAACAAGCCGCAATTTGACCTTATCGATCGGTGGTGTCGAGACGCCAGGAAGACTACTCATCTTCATTGAGACAGTGAAGCCATCCTTGTTCTCAAGTGGAGTTATGTGGTGCGAAACTGCGGAGATGCGAAACAGTAATGCTGCACGTAGTGTTGTTGCTGGAATATGTGGCAATACCTGGAAAAGCTGATTCATATAATATTGGTTCGCCTCGGAGAAAGATCTCGAGGAAGTCGCACGACCAGCCTTTCTGGAGTGGTGCAAACAAGAAACGAGACATCGCACGTAATCCTTAGGCCGCTCAAGACACTTGAGGCACTCGGCATAGATTCGGAGGAGATACTCTTCAGAAGGATGATGTGACCCACGTGGAAGTGGACCAAGGATATTTTCAAGGTATCGTGCAGCAGTGGACCAGTTACCTTGAGAATATTCCATCTCAACGAGGTTTGTCAATATTTGCCGGGAGGTAGATCGATTCTTCGTAGACGATACAATCCGAAAAGCAAGGACGGAAAACATGGCGTAAAGCCTGAGGAAGCTTGGCTTTGATGTCGCAGCTGCTTTCAATGTCGTCGACTCTAAGCCTGCGAGAAGCTCGGTGTGGTGGGGGGTTTGGTTTTGGTCTTTTCCTACCGAGCCCTGGCTGACATCGCCGTTGGTGGCAATGGGCTGCATTCCATTCCCATTTGATTCCTGGGCAGAATGCTTCATACTAAGAACCCACGGTTTCACAGCCTCCAAGGTCTCGACAAAATGTCTCGCCATGAGTATGAGCTTTGATATCCACAGAGCGAGACGCTCAAACCCTGTTCTATTCGGCGGCCCGTGTCGAAGAATAGTCCCATTCGGCATCGAAGAATGCCTTTTGCTTCGTTCCTGAGACCGTTCGCGAGAAGACGACCGCAAACCAGAAGTAAGGGATATGTGTTGGTAGCTCTCAGCAAGCCCATGAAGCTGGTCTATAGCAGCTGTGTCGGGATCATAAGAGAGTTCAGTAGTGTCCAGTGACAACTCTTGGCTGGTGTAATCGATATCGCCACCCAGAGCTGGCAAAACTTGGGCAAGAATTTGTATAGTGGCTCGCCATTGCCAGTTGGAGACAATATTGCTTGTGACTGTTCTCTGGGTACGCAGTTCATTCTCGCTCAATCCTTCATACCCACCCCAGGCATTGTAAAGCTCAAATCGGAGAGTGCGACCGACAAGATTGATAAACTGCATGGCTCGTTCCACTAAATCTGCGACCACGTTGAAATCGACTCCCGTAGTGCCTGCCTGGGAGGATTTCCGCGCTCCCAACCGCGACTGCCTGGTGAGGATCTCCATTTCCCGGGTGAAGAGATAGATGCGAAGGTCCAACGCCGATACATCATTAGATAGGATAAGATTGCGGTAATTCTTCCTCTCAACGTCAAAGGGAGAGTCATCTTGATCTGCCGCAAGAATGCTACTCGGGTCAAGCGGTAAGCTGACGTCTATAGGCGGGACACGCTGCGTTTCCGAGTCCAGAGCTGCTCTCAGTAGATCCTTGGATTCTTTGGAAAAGGTCAATAATGCCCCGCTCTCATCGTGATCGTTTCTCTGAGCTTGCTCCTTGACCAGCGTGTCGAGACCCAAGGAAAGCTCGTCATAAACGGCAAGGGCATCGTCAAGCAATCCCAAGTTTTCAAAGCCTTTGGCCAGACCCTCTTTGAGGATAAGGAATGTGCAGAAGTTCCAGCCAGGCAAACTTCTTTGACTGTCTCTTTCGCGGATGTCTAATTCGTATTGAGCAACCCGAGCATCAAATGAGCGCAGGATACATGTTTTCAGGCAGTCCACCAAGTCTTGCCACTGCTCTTCCACCTCTGCAGAGGTCAAGGGCGTTGATTTGTCTCCAGGGTCGAGGAGGCGAACTTGTGCAACGCGAGAAATTGACGACTTGGAACTGCTGAAATCGGCTCTCAGTTTGTCAAAAACCGTGGAAGGGCTTTTGCCAGACCACTTTGACTTGCTATTGACGCTGTCGGTGCTCTCCGAGGCTTCCAGTGAGAGGTGCTTTGATGATTTCGGCTGGCTAGCAGCGGGAGTGTTTGGAAGAACCACGTGGACAATCAGCCATTCGAAAGCATCATGATCCTCCTGGCTCTTGCTCGACAGTTTACCATCGTTTGAGGGCGTGTGCGTCTTGACCCACTGGCGGACCTCTTTCCTGACCTTCTCCTTGTAGGCTTCCTTGTCATCGCACCGTAGGAGATATAATTTGACGTAGGGGGTCTCACGCAGACCTGGTATCTGATGCCGCCGAACGTTGGATTGTGCCCCAGCGGAGGGGTCTTCCCGCGTCAATGATATGTTAAGATTTGAGATCGATCGGAGTGGTCGGTTGGGAGCTTTCCAGTGTAAGTTGCGCAGAGGACTTCTGGCTGATAGTCGAGGTTCGAGACGGTCAAAGAGGTTATGTGGATCAATACATTGAATAATCACTTTGGAGTTGGGAGGCGGATGGGACTCTGGTGCGTCCATGATAGAGAGGAGGGAATGGACTGCGCAGGAGTGGCAATGTTCGGCGGACGCATGGTGACAGAGCGTCTAGCGTGACGATCCTGCTCTGTACTCGACCGATGAAAGCATACTCTGGTCTGCACGGATGGAATAGATGCGCAAGGCAAGACCTCGTGCGTATCTTTGTACCGCGTAGGTAGGGCGGGCGACAATTATGTGCCATATTGCGGTTTATGTCATGAATGCGCCGCGGTAGCCGATTAGCCTCTCAGGCCTCTTCGGGCAGCTTGGCTGTGACGGCGCCGCCAGACACCAGGCTACCATGACTTGAACCAATTGTGCCAATGTCCAATCACAGACTTCGTTAGGATTCGTCGTCGCCCCTTTTTGATGGCCAGTCTCGTTTCCAACACTCCACTTCGTTGTAGGCCACACTCCCGCCATTGTCATAAGGAACTTGGAGGCCACATACAACGGTGGTCTTAGGAAGAATGAAATGTGATCTGTGAGTCACTGTACTGGTTTGATCGCCAGCTGGCAATGGTATAAATCCCTCTTGCTTCTCATGTTGCGAACGGAGGCCTCACAAGCTCGTTCGGATAGTCTTTGCTAACCGTCTTATCGTACATTCAATACTTGCCAGGCGTTCCAATCGATCTGCTTCTTCCCTTCTCCACGATTGGTGATCTTTCACAACCACAATGGCCTCCTCAGCGCTTCCAGAAACTCTCCGCTCCGTGACCTCCACCAAAATCCAGGAGGTCAGGAAACAGCGTGATCACTTCGAGGCATCCAAGAAGGACATCATCCGTGAAGCAAGACCATTCAAGGACGACCTGGAACGCACGCACAGGCTGTTGGTCGGTTCCTGTCGGCAAGCCGGCATTACTGTTGTCAATGACGACTCATCCGACTCTGATTCCGACTCCGAACCAGCTTCTGACCTTGCACGAACCCGTCGAAACCAACAATTGTTCCTCCGACAAGCTGGCAAAGATCCAGCTTTTGCCACTGAGATCGTCCACCGAATCCATGACGAGTTGGTAGAGCACCTCAGTTTGAGAAGTGTACAACATGAACACGCACAGTTCTTCTCTGAGCTCGTGACCGAATGGCTTTCGAGCTCCACAGATGTACAAACGCACCCCTCGAAACAAAATTCAACGGAAGAATCATCATTCGAGAGTGTTGGCCGGAAGGAAATGCACGAACAGAGAGCGCAGTGGGAGTCCATCGTCTTCACTAACCGCGAAACTGATGACGCAGCGATTGGTCGCTACCTCAATCAACTCTTCAATTCGGACGATGAAATATCCAAGCACTTCAAAAATATTGAGACTTCCACCAAAGCTTTTTGCAGGACTCTTCGCTCCACTGCTGAACTGTTCAGTGTAGACAGTCTCAAAGTCACAATTACTGGCCTCCTAAGGACCGATCTCTTATCCGACGAGAAGGCTGCTATTCTAAAGTCCTTTCAAAATAATCCGGGCGTGCTCCAGGAAGTTGCCGACGTGTTGAATATGAGATTTGCTTCTCTTGAAAGCTGGAAGTGGACGACCATCGACGGTGCAATACCTGTCGAACAGCGACGGCAGCTGAACGGGAAATATCGAGTGTTCATGGATGAGGATGTCCTCGATGCAATTCTACTTCACACCATTGGTATCAAGTGGGCAGTCCATTTCAAATCCTGCCTCACAGAATTCTTCCTCTCCCCTGCATGGCGGACTGCGGGAGGAAGTATTCCCAAGAACGACTGGGATCGGCGATGGTATTTCCTGGGTGAGAAGTCAGCTCCCCGCTACAACAGTGTGGAGGTACAGCGGAAAGATCAGTATGGGGAGGAATATTTCATGTCACAGCTACCAACCACGGAGTCCGAAGGCGCCCGAGTGTACAACGATGACGAGGGCCCATTCTCAAACACCCCAGGCGTTCGTGATGGGATCAGTGAGGACGGATTGAACTCGGGTCCTCTTAAGAAAGGCTCGGTCGCAACCAAGCAGGGTCTCCTATACTTACTCATCACTGAGGCTCTCGTCTCACAACATGTTCGTCCAGGGAGTTCTCATGCTGTGATTCGTTCGGATTTTCAATGGTTTGGGCCGTCACTCCCACACAGCACCATCTTCGCCGTGTTAAAGTTCTTTGGAATCGACTCGACATGGCTAGATTTCTTTCGGACGTTCCTGCAAGCCCCGATGCGCTTCGAACAGGATGGGCCAAACGGGCAGTACCATGTTCGGCTACGAGGTGTCCCAATGTCGCATGCGCTCAGCGATGTCTTTGGCGAGGTCATTCTATTCGCCATGGACTATGCTGTGAATAAAGCCACCCAAACTTATCTCTACCGTCTTCACGACGACTTCTGGTTCTGGGGCACTGAGGAAGTGTGCTTGCGTGGATGGGATGCAATGAGCACATTCGCCTCTGTCATGGGCCTTGAATTCAACGAAGAAAAAACTGGCAGCGTCGTGTTCGATAATCACTCCCTTTCTCGACCCATAAACACGCGATTCTCGGGATCTGATCAAGAGATGGAGTGCGAGAGTATAGCTCCCCAGACACTTCGCTTGCCCGAAGGAGACGTACGTTGGGGTTTCCTGCGCCTGGATGCTAACAGCGTCCGATTTGTGATAGACCAGGATATGGTCGATGCACATATCAAAGAACTTCAGCTGCAGTTGTCCCATTGCACTTCGATATTTTCGTACATTCAAGCCTACAACGCGTACCTGGCTCGATTCTTCAGCAACAATCTGGGGATGCCATCGTTTGCATTTGGCCGCCAGCATGTGGACGACATGATCGACACATTTGCCAAAATCCAGAAGGAACTCTTCCCAGGTGGCTCAGTGACTGACCATCTCTCAAGCCTGGCGCAGGAGAGGTTCGGTGTCAAGGATATTCCTGATGGAGTCTGGTATTGGCCCATCCAAATGGGTGGCCTTGAGTTACACAATCCCCTTGTACCACTCTACTGCATGCGGGAAACGATGCGTCAGTCCCCACAGACGATCCTATCGAAATGCTTCGAACGCGAGGAGAAGTCATATCTCACTGCCAAAGCCGAATTCGAATCGGAGATGAAGACTCACGGCCGAAAGACCTCCTACCCATCGGGACTGCCTACCTTTGGCGACCAGTTCATGCAGAAGGACGAATACCTCAAGTACCGCGAGCAGCGATCTATCAACCTTCATAATACCTACTCTCACCTACTCGAGGTCCCTGCTGAGTTTCAGGTTCATGGGACCAATGAGACCACTGCATGGCTGGACAAGCTACCCTCGCCAACCCGCGGTCAGAAATCGTCGTCTACGGGCATTGTCAAAGCGTTTGATTCTATGAATGCCTACTGGAAATGGATACTCGCAGTCTACGGCTCCCAAATTGTCGAAAAGTATGGAAGCATCCAAATAGTGGATGCGGCGCAGGTTCCTTTGGGTGTTGTGAGCGTAATGAAGGGCGGCCGAGTTCGATGGCAAGGCTGAGCATCTCGAATCCACAACTTGTAGGGTAGATTTTGTCAAATATAGGACCACGATATCTGGGTGCCTAGTGTATCGGAAGTGATGTCGAGAGCATAGTCTCGAGGTAAAGTTGGGGATTGGCCCCGAAATTGTCTTTAGAGTCGCTGGATACCAGGCATTTACGAGGTTAGCTGAGGGGAGACCCTGCAAAGCGATTTCAATATCTCCACTTTCTTTCTACAGTCTACAGCCACGAATAGAACAGGCCCCGTCCTGACAATAATAAGATGCCACGTTATCAGTAACCAATTCATTGTGATCTTCAATAATATTGCTCACTGCAAGCTCATGAGCATGGCACCAAGACTCTGGGGTGGACTCGACACACATTTCTGATATTCAGCCATCGCAATGAGCTGGAATCGTCCACAGCCATCGGTTCTAGACTCAATCTTCAGAGCTTTATCACAGTTCTCAGACCCAAACATCGCTCCACAGGACAAACGACAACATCCTCCTCTGCAGGACAGCCCAGACCAGGCAGGTCATAACTGGGTCCAGCGTCTGTCCCTATTGGATGAGCAGAAGGTCCGTCCAATCTTTTTGACCCTGCACATGTTGTTCCCTCATGAACTTCTTCCCGCCCTTGACATCCTCGACCGAGGCCTGGTTACGAAACTCGTGGTAAACTCCCCAGTGCCGGTGGGAGACGACCCAGAAGATATTCCCAGACAGAGACGTTCTTCAGCAGAGGATCGCTCGTTACTTGAATGCTCAGAAGTTAATCCCCAGGTCCAACCAGATCATCGTGGCTGGGAGGTTTTCTACGTCCAATCTTCAACCACTGCGGACAAGCAAAGTTCGCGACCACGATACTATCATCATGGTGGCCACAGCAGCACGGTCCCGCTTTACGAAGTCCGCCTCGAGACCTGGAATTGCACGTGTCCAGCGTTCAGCGTGAGCGTGTTTCAGAGCTTGAATCTGGAACATGGTCGAGACTCTGGGGTAGTTGACGACGACATTGACGTTGGCCGGACCGGCCCATCCAAGGCGACGGCCGAATATGAGTACAAATTCGGTGGTTCTGTCACCATCAAGCTCGCCAGAACACCGAGCTGCAAACACATTGTAGCAGCGTTCCTGGCAAAAGCTGCACCAAATATTTTCGCAAACGGCGTGAAGGAGACAACTGTCTCGCGGGAAGAAGCAATTGCTTGGGGAGGCGGATGGGGAGAGCATGGAGGTATTTGGGACTACGGTTAGGAAGACACCGTTTGCTTGCCCTTGCAAAACAAGTAGTATGAAAAGGCACGGCGCATCTCGAACAGCGAGGCTCTTCGAAAGTGCGGAGTCGAGAGGACGTCTCGCGGAACACGGGAAGCAGGCTTTGATGCGTTTTTTTTGCCGCCTCCAGAGGAGCCCATCATCGCTGGGAAAATCAGTGGCTCCAGGGCCATAATTCAGACGACCACAGCCGCCTCGGACCCAGCACACTAGTTTAGTGTCTTCATGATATTATACATTGCCCATGCTCAGCAGACAAAACATGCCCTGGAGCCGAGCTTGTTGGTCGAAACGCCCTGCTCAATGCAAAAAGTCACAGACATTGAGATGTCTAGCTCTTCTTCTTGCCTTTTCCTTTTCCATTGCCACTCTCGTCACCTTCTTTCTTGTCTCCATTTACCGCCCCGTTGACCCCCTGCTTTTTCTCGTCCTTCTCCTTCTCACCTTCCTTCTTTTCTGCCTCATCCTTCTTCGCTTCTTTTTCTTCTTGCTGTTGTCGATTTTGATTCTTGTTGTCAATGAGGTCGTGGAATGCGGTGATTGCGCGGACTAGCGAGCTCAGGTAAATAGTCATCAGCTGATCGTTGGTCTTGATGCTCATCGCACGAGCTAGCTCGCTATTCTCAACTTGGTTCTTGCCATTCGGTCGGGAAGCCGGAGGCGTCGTCAAGTTCGGGAGAAGGTTGAAGATGTCTTGCAGATTGCCGAGGATGGCATGGTTAATGGGAAGGTCGCCATCAAGGACTTTTTGAAGGTAAGTGCCTATATCCCTTAACCGTAGATGAAGACCTTGTAGCGACTGCAGCTGTTGGGTGATGCGAGAGGAGAGGGTGCCGACTGCGACATCACGGATGTCTCTGAGAAGATGTTCCACCCCAATCTCTTCTGCTTCCTCTGCTTCAATAATCGAAGGGGTATGCACAAATGTCTTGGTGGTAGTTGTTCCGTCGTCCTTGATCTCTTCAATAGCAAAATAGGCGTCTGTGGGTACGCCGACTTCCTTCGGTTGGACGTCGATGATGACAAGGAGAGGGTTGGGAGTGTATTTCTTGAACAGCTCGTTGATCTGGAGATCAGATGCTCGCAGCTTCGGGCCAGAATGATACCACCCGATCAATTTTTCTCGCGCGTTGACCTTCTTGAACATTTCCCGCATCGACTCGACATAATTATGATCTAGGAACCAGACGGACGGGTCCTTTTCGTCCTCCTCGAAGGGTACTATTATCTGTCAGCGAGGTTTCGTATTCGAGGGCGCTTGTCAACAAACCGGCGAAACTGTTTGAAACTCGCACATTCTTGCCATCATTTTGACCCAGCAAAACACCCACGACTCGTTTTCGAGTTCCTTTGGCCGAGCGACCGTAGTGATCTGCAGCTGATAAGAGGACGAGAGGAGCGACCGAGACCTGCCTGCTCACGAGGGAAAGCGTCTCTGCAGTGGTTGCAGGCATGATGGAGAGCTAGGGGCGGCAAAGGCGGAGGGTTGAGGACAGTCTGGAGAAGGAGTAACAATGTCTACTGAACTTGGAGCTCTGATTTTTACAGGCAGAACAGAATTATGGAACAGAGCCAGTGATCAATACCTGTCTTTAATTCAAAAGCAGGCAACTGATTGACGCGACCACGAACCAAGTGCGGCTTGTGTCATTGTACTCGGACGTAATATTTGAGATTTGGCAACTTTGCCGACACTTCCCTCTGCCGGACGTCGCGGCGAGCCAATCACAGTCGCATCTCAGAGAGTTAGAGGATGCTCAGATATGACTGCTCACTGCATGTGCTCAATCCCTACTGTTCAACAGTGCACCCTCTGCAACATTGTAGATGCAACTTGAGACTTAGACCTGCAAAGAAATGTCCACTATAATGGCAATACTGCGCACGACTGCAGGCGGAGACTGTTGGATCATTCCATTTCAATCTAGCAAGAAGTAAAATACTGGATGCATATTCGGCGACGTTAAATATGGCATGCTGAAACAGCCTTCGAAACCAGCCATCCCCAGGGCCAGCGACCTATTTTTCACCCAGGGTCTCCTTGGTCTCGGCCCAAATCTTATTGATCAATGCCGCTTTCTTTTCCGACCTCACCGTAATATCACATTCAAACGGTTGAGGGATTGTCATCCAGCCTGGAACCATTGCAATGTTTGGCTCAATCACACTTCCATCTTTTGCGATTTTCTTGGAGATGTTAAAGGCCCACAGCACACGAGCAATGTTTAAGAACAGCGACTTCTCCGCCACATGCACACCGGGACAGACTCGCCTTCCTGCTCCGTATGAAAAATGGTCGCGCTGGTTGGGGTCCCCAATGTTGATGTAGGAAGCGGCTGGGAGATCGTAGCCGAGAAAGCGTTCTGGCATAAACTCGTCGGGCTTGTCCCAGTGAGCTGGATCATAGTTTATTGCCCTGTGCGCATGTCAGAAAGAAGTTATGATGCTAGATGCCAGAGACACTTACCACCAGTTCAAGACAACCACCGTCTCCTTGGGGATGAATTAGCCGTTGTACCAGTCGTCCTCAGTCGTATAGTGCTGAATACCGAATTTATTGGGCGGGCGAGTACGAAGTAATTCTTTAATCATGGCTCTGAGATAAGGTAAATTTGCCTCATCTTCCCATGTGGGCAGCCTGTCTCCTCCAACCACTCGATCGACCTCTTCCTGAGCCTTTTTCATAATATGTGGATGCAGGGTCATTGCTAAAATCCAGGAGTTGAGGAACGCAGACGTTGTTTCAGAGCCAGCTTCGACCAGGCCACCGGTTTGATATGCTGCTTGAAGCTGATCTAATCCAAGTTTCTCCGGGTTGCTGAGGTAGAAATCTTTCGCAAAGCATGGGTTAGCCTTGCGTTCGTCGACCTCTTTCTTTAAGTCTCCCCAGAGATTAAGGTAGACAACGGAGTCATGTGCAAAGCATTTCTCGCCAAACTTCCTCCAGTTACCAAACATCCACTGGGGGAAATATCGCAGCGAAGGCCATGTGTCCACGAGGAAGGCACCCGGTGCGGAAAATTGTTGTAGGTTGTTGACCACACTGTAGATCTTCTTGACCAATGGATTGTCCCAATCGGCCATCCGATGTCCATATGCCACTGTCAGGATCACACTCGATGAATAGCGTCGGTTGTGGTCATAAAAGTGTTCCGGGTCGTGGAGCAAATCGTACACCAATTGCTTGGATTCAAGGTCTTGAATAGGTTGATAGCTGGTTGAAACAGTTATATTGAGGAGCTGATGGGCGATTTTCCGTACAACGCGGTACTTGGGCCCGTATGGCATAAACAATTGTCGTCGACCTGCGGAAGCCACGTCGCTAGCAAGCGGTGCTGGTGGTCGGGAGGAGTATATGCCAGACTTCTTGTCCATCAATTCTTTCACCGCCGTAGGAGATGACAAATAGATGTAATCAGCTCCTCCCATCTTAGTGTAGAAGATCTCCCCATACTCCTTGGCCCACTTCTGCGCCTGAAATCGAAACGTTTCAGCCTTCGACATTTCAAAGAAATTTCCCAGAAAGGGCAAACCGCGAGGACCGGGGGGAAGGTGTTTCCGCCTCGAATCCTTCAGTGTACTCGGTGTGACCCATAGGTAGAAGCCGATGATGAATATCAAGGGGAATGCGACACAGGTGGCCAGTACCACTCTCAGAGGCGAGACATTCTCGAGGCGCACTGAGGTCAGCAAGCGGGTGCTGGGCACTTTGACCTCCATCTTCCTACGAAAACCACACTATGCTCTTTTGCAAGCCCACTCGTCAAGCTTTCAGATGGTCCGCCGCTCTGCGAGGTATTGAGAAGTCCATATACGTCGCACAGAACACCTTGAAAACAGGAGAGTTGGAGTGGTTTTCAGGGTCGAGGTGGACGACCCCATGTCTGCTCCCGCATGGAACCCCCCATTGGTGCACCGTCATCAAGATCAAGAGCATTCGAATCCGAAGAACGACTTCGTGGGACACGCGGGATTTCCCCATGAAGAGTGGAGGGCCTCCACATTCTGTACATTCAACATGGTGGAGAGCGGTATTACTAAATAATGGAGATGGAAAAAATGCCAAGGTTATGGGGACGCTGGAGTTGGGGAACAGGGCGTAACATCTCGTCCCAAAGTCATGTGATCCTAGTATACATTGTGCTAAAAGGCCGTACGAGGTACTAGGGCATAGACTATGCAAAGTATCGAGAGATGATCTGGACATCTTACTTTGAAAAAGGACAGCAACGAGCTCCACTCATCACCGTCATTTTAAAAAAGCTCCAAGTTCCTATAATGAATAGAATTGGCACATGACGAAAGATAGACAAAACTTATGCTAGGGTACATGAGTATGCATTACCAGAATCCTCCCATTATTTACTTCACCGCTGCTGCTGCGTGCAAATGGCGTTCGACTTGGATTTTGGTCATTTAATGGAGGTGGCGGTGGGAGTATCGCTTGCGGTACTTGTGAATGTCAATCTTGGCATCAGGGCGGAAGACCTCGATATCCAACTCGTCAGTGTATCCACGAGCCTTCAGGCCAGATTGACCAGCCAGTTTGGCTCCTTGAGGGTTGGAGTTCTCATAGGCACTCAAAGCTGAACATTCGTCTTCAAAGGCTTGGTTAACATATTGTTTGGCGGGAATGTCGTCAGGTCGCTCAAGGAACTGAAGAGCAAGACCGCCATCAACGTGCCACGAAATGTGGCAATGCATGAGCCAGGCGCCGGGGTTGTCGGTCTCAAAGCCAATGACAGTGTAACCAGCTGGGAAACCAGGGCCTGGAGAGCCTTGCAACATGACAGTGTCACGACGCGTCGGGTTGTCAAAGTTGAGAGAGCTGACCAGGTCGGAGGTGAAAGTACCGGTACCAGTGCCGAGAACCGAGATATCGTGACCATGGACGTGCATGGGATGAGAAGCGAAGAACTGGTTCTGGATGACGAAGTAGACCCACTGGTTGGCTTGGTTGAGAACAACAGGATTGCTAACCAGGCTGTTGTTTGATGAACCCTGAGCCAAGGTTTGGAGAGTAGGCTGGCTGTAGTTGACGTTGATGACGGCGTTGTTAATGTACCACTGGAAAACAGTTCCGTCATCGTTGGTGGCAACTGAGGTAACAGAGCCGGCAGGGATGGTGGATGCTGAGCCCTGGAAGGCAGTAACAGTGCCGGCCGGCTTCTCCAGGTACGGCACCAAGGAAGCAAGAGGTTCGTCCTGGCAAATGTTGGCAGTGACGTTGGTGATGGATGTCGAGATGACGGGAGTAACAGGGGTGGCACCCTCGTAGTTGAAGATGGCGTTAGCTGTTCCCAAACCAGAGTTGGCACCACCCGACGGGCAGCCGGTCTGAATGACCGCGCGGACATAGTAACTGCTGGGTGCTTGGTCCATCTGAACAATAACATCGTATCTCTGGCCAGTTGCGATGTTGAGGGTAGTGGTCTCGTAGGGCACGATGGGCACGAAATCGGCAGCAATGACAGTCATTGTGTGGTTGTCGAAGCCAACAATGTAGCTGTTTTGTGCGGAGCTGTAACAACTTTAGCAGACGTTATTAAGCGGGAGCAGGGCCGAACAAACCTGTTGATGATGCGGAACAAGTGCTTCTTGCAAGGCTTCACTCCCCACGAGAAAGGAGTTCCACCAGGAGCAGTTCCATCAGGGTTCTTGTTCATACCGTTGAACAGGGTATTGAAGGAACCTCCAGGTCCGACGTGTGCAATGCGCGATGCCATTGCAGCAGCGGTAATAGGGAAACTGCCAAGAAGTCAGACTCTTGTAGTCTGTGAGCACAGGCGTTTCACTTACGTGTCATCAATCATAACTGTACCCATGTCGTAGTCGTAGTCGGAAGTGGCGGGTCCGTGGATGACGATAGGACCGCGGATACCATCACCATACTGGGCGAAGGTGTGGCTGTGGTACCATGAAGTACCATACGAGCTTGCATGCCACTTGTACGTACGGCTGCCACCGTTTCCAGCAATACCGCACTCAGTAACACCGGGAACGCCGTCCTGATCGTTGGTGTTGAGTTGGCGGATACCATGCCAGTGAATGGATGTGCTATTATCTTGCAATTGGTTGATCACAGTGACCTCGACCATGTCACCCCAGTTAGCCTCGATCACGGGGCCAGGGACTTGACCGTTGATGGCGAGAGCGAGCTTGGGGCCCGTGCCATCGAAGACCAAGGTGGTGTTGGTAATCGTCAAGGTGTACTTGCGGGTGACACCAGTCTTGTAGTCAGTGTAGTAATCACTGCTGATATCCTTGTTGTCGCACCAAACGGAGCGATCAGAGGCGGAGTTGCAGTAATCGTCTGTGGCATTCTTGACAGGCGTGTAAGTGGCACAAGTACCGGAGCCTGAGGTCGTGGCAGTTGAAGATGAGGTTGGGCCTGAACCGCCGCTGGTGGTGGGCGAGGTGTAGCTGTAGCTGCTGCTCGGTCCTGAACCGTTGCCACCGTTTCCGCCGTTTCCACCATTCCCGCCGGTGTCTGTTGGGCCTGAGCCGCCGGCTGTCGTAGATGGCGTCGAACCGTGGCCGCCATGGCCGCCATGACCGTGTCCGAAGCCATTGTCGGGATGTGCGCCAGTTGCGGTGGCCGTGTTCCCGCCATTTCCGATCCCATATTTGGACTTCTGTTCATTCCAGAGGGAGGCCCAGTAATCCTCAGCACCGTTGTTCCCTTGGCCGGGGTGCCAGCCATTTCCTGCGCCAACATCCGTCGGACCCGAAGCGTCGCATGTGAGGACCTGCGTTACCGGGCAGACGGTGTGAGTTCGAGTAGAGGTGGCTGTGACGGTGACATCGGACTCCCAGTTGGAAGCACGTGCGAGACCAGCCGCAGCAGCGGTGAGGAAAAGAGGAAAAGAACGCATTATAGAACGAATGGACGCAGGCAGAGTTGCCTGCACAAAGGAGTGACTTGAAGGAATATGATGCGTACGGGAAGGAGAAGAAGAGAAGCAAAACAGAGGCGCGAGTAGGGGTTGTATATCACTTTAGCTTTCACCGTTGGGGGCTTCTTTTTTTGACCTTTCCTTCAAGATTGGACAGCCTGATCGGCCTGCCGCGAAGCCGTGGGTTGTGGGTTTCCGCCAGCGGGATGATTGCCTCACATGCCATCAGGCATCGTTGAGCTGGGGCAGAACTGTCTCAGTTTAGCATAGTGGATAGGGCGGTGGACTTCTGTTGGTACAATGCGCTGGTGACAAGCGATGAGGATCGGCTGGTCATCTTGCAACGATGGGCCTTGAAGCGAGATGCCAATCTTTGGACACGGGGTTCGAGTATCAGCCACATCACGCCAAACGGTTAGGATTGCGAACGTTGCAAGCCGTTCGACGCCGTTGCTGGCAATAGGGTCACGCTTCCAGGAGACGATGGACGGTGGTTGTTGAGAAAAGCTTGGTGTCAGGGGTAGTTTAGAGCCGAAAGGGGACAGGGCGCGTCGGAAGTGGATTGCGTGAGCGTCAAGAATTCGCCAATGTTTGCGCCGGTGGAAATTGCAAGCTGTGTTTAATCTTTGAGCTTGATGACAGGGTTCGGCGCCCACCAATTGCTTGAGGGCGCCATTACTCGGGGGGTGGAGACGCTGGAGCTTTGAAGCGATGGAAGCCTGAATGCGAAACAGGGGAGGCACCAGAGCTTGATGGGATGCTGAGGTCAGGATTCAGGAGGATCACAACGGAGAAATTGAAAGGAAGTCTGGCTCCTGAAGGCCCGAGAGGATGGATTCTGGGGGGTTGTCGGATATGTGGTCTGAACAACGCCTACAAGCAGTTACAGTTATACGAAGAGGTGCATGAAGGAGGAACACGTGCCTCAACGTCAGCCGCAGAGCTGCATGTTCAGTCGAGAAGGTGCGACCTTGGTAGATCCTGCCCCTTTTGGAATTTACAACCACCTAATACTCGGTACATGTATCGCGTGTCTCTAATCTCGTTGCACGTCGATGTCCATGTGGAATACTCGGGCACGTACATAACACGTCAAGGCTTCTTTCAACCTTTTTTCCATAAGCTTATTGTCGGAGTGATGTAGAGACCATCGTGGTCCATGGCCGTAGTTGATGCTTTAGCTACGGCAAAACAATTACTCCAACCTTTTCTCCTCCGAAACTTCGTCCTGCCAGGAAAGGCTCATTCAATAATGACCTCCGGGGCGAATCTGGGAGGATTCGCTTGATAAAATCCAATATCACTCTCCACAAATTCTCTCATGTGCCAACCCCATATAACAAGTAACACCAAGCGACAATAATCTCATCTGTCATTCTTTTCCGACACTCGTTGGAATCTCTCGACGGGTGACAACAATTCTCAAGCTCGGAATCTGGGGAGGTTCTAGGGGCAAGAAGCTCGTATTCGTCTCTGGGAAACAAGATGCGGCTTCATTTGCTTGGTGGATTTGGCTTTCGGCAAAATGCAGCCCTTTAGCCCCTAAGCCATAAGGATCCTTTCCAATTTACCATGGCTGACCTGCGCCCCAGGCAGTGACTACCGAGTACCTCGTAACTCGTCCCTTAACCTGGCCAGCCCTGGCTTGCCTGCCTCAGCTACCTGGTTTTCAATTAGCTAAGAATAACAAACGAAAAACTCATCCATCGCACTCTTGTCTGTCCCCTTTCGACAGTCGGTGAAATTGGAAGTGCTCGAGACATGCCATCATCACATTTGCTACTAAGACGACAACCTGCCCTCATCAACGAATGCTGTTACCCT